AAACGACAATTTGAAATGTCCTAGAAAACAAAGAAACCACCGGTGTACTAATAGCCAAACATTGAACAGCAAGGCCAGGTCTATTATTTTTGCTATACACCGAACAATTTGGGTTTAAAAGATGAATATTAGACATTAGCATTCATTTCCTGATATTCACTTAGAACATGGTGCCTTTGGTGGCAGAACACACAAACAATACATGGGCAAAAGTATTGGAACAGATAGTCTTTAAAATACTCTGTAAATTAAAGTAAATAACACTTAATATTTAGTTGCATATTCCTTGCTTGCTTGTGTGTACTTGCTGTGTGTGTGTGTACTTACTACTAATTCTTCTTTCTGCCTCATTCATCTTGACCTTGAAGCTCATTTCTCTTTTTGTGGCTCTTTTATTTGGTAACTTGGCAATTCAGCATGGTCTGGTTTTGCTCCTTCACCCCCTTTGCTTGTTAGTTTGTAGAGATTTACTGTACCACTCTGCTGCATGTCTTTATGAAATATGAATGTGTGCTATATCAGAGGAAGGCCACAGAGGGCCATTGTAACCTGATGCTAGGCTAGGAAGTTGAGAACAGGAGTTACTTTACGTGTCTTATAGAAAACACTCATTCAGCAACCTCTGCTAGCTTGCCCAACCACAAGATTTACAGCTACTGTAATATAATTTTGCCTATTTTATTTGGGAAGCAGTGCTTATAGTCCACATCAACAGTGTCACATGAATATGTTATTTATAGCAGTGGCTTCCTGTAACCTCCTAACCTAATTTATAACACAAAAAAAAATTATGTAGATGTTATTATGAATGATCTTAGACACAGTTACTGTTTTAGTGAAAGTGACTGAGCCTCTTTCAAACCTAATGACCATTCTACGTGTGTGGTACAGGATTATGCTATTATCTGCTTTTTCCTCTTGGAATGGCTTATTCAAGGAAACATGAAAATGTGTATTTAAGGTAAAGTCAAAATGCCTGAGGGTATGAACCTAATTACCCCATAAATTTTCCTTCACCCTTTCTCCTGTAAGGCAAACGTTCAGCTGAGTAATATGATTATTTTTATAGTGTAGCAGTTGTTCAATTATACAGTCTGGCCTGTCCACATGACTGAGGGACTGTGGCTACTGGGGACAGGGAGTGACACAGAGGAGCCAAGACAGAACCTGGTCTACATATATATATATATATATATATATACACACACACACACACACACACACACACACCTCTTTATGGCTCATTTAAGCTCATATTTAGCCTGTTGGTTGCGAGCACCCAGTTTGCAGATTCTACAGATTTTTTGCTGGGGTGACTGTTTGACATTTTTTTTTTTTGCCTTCATTTTATGTGTGTGTGTTTAAATGGTCTAGACTCATGGTTCTATCATCACTCATGGTTTATTTGATCAACTGGCTTTGGTCCTGTCCAGATCCTGGGAAACAGTCTGGATCAGAAGTTATTTTGACGTGAAACACACACACACACAGGATGCAAACATGTTTCAACAGACCAAAGTGTGCTGCAGAGAACTAGACCATGAAGCTAACCAGTGACTGTCTGACATATTGCATTACTACATATCTTATTCTCATTACTATTTAATAGACATCGATGTGCCACTAATATTTAAAACAAAATAAAAATCCTCTTGTAACAAAAATAGCACAGTTGGCATGAGATTCTCACAGGATTAACTTCCCACATGTAAAACTGAAAGTTGACAAACGTTACAGTCACACACCCATATGTGGGTCTTCCCCAAGCTATATAGTCAGCTCCATAGATATTTGGACAGTGACAGATTTTTGTAACCCTGCCTCTGTACATCACCACAATGGATTAGAAATGAAGCAATCAACATGTGACTGAAGTGTAGACTTTCAGCATTAATTCAAGGGGCTTAACAAAAATATTGCTTTAACCATTTAGGAATTACAGCTATTTTTTCATAGTCCCTCCATTTTCACAGGCTCAAAAGTAATTGGATAAACCAACATAATCATAAATATTAGGAGTTATTTTTAATACTTGGATGCAAATTATTTGTAGTCAATGACTGCCTGAAATCTGAAACCCATGGATATCACCAAATGCTAAGTTTCCTCCCTTGAGATGCTTTGCCAGTCCTTTACTGCAGCAAGACTAGAGCATTGGCTATTGGATGTTGTGAAGAGGTTTTTCTTCAACAAGGAAAGAATTCTGCATTCATCCACTTTAGTTGTCTTCCGTGGTCTTCCAGGCCTTTTTGGTGTTGCTGAGCTCACCAGGGACTCAGTAAAAATGGCTATAATTCCTGAACAATTAATGCAATATTTTTTTGAATTAAAGCTGAAAGTCTACACTTCAATCACATCTTGATTACTTCGTTTCAAATCCATTATGTTGGTGTACAGATGGAAAATTACAAAAATTGTGTCACTGTCCAAATACTTATGGACCTGACTGTGTACATACTATATATATATATATAGTGTATAAAATTTATTCATGAAATTATGTAGCTGCTTTCTGTCTACAAGAAAATTAACTTGAGCAGGTTACTGGCTCCTAATAACACAAAATTGTTTAAGAGATCAAATTGTTTATCAAGCAGCTTCTTTTCATTAGCTATTATGTAATTAGTAGAAATGTGACATCAATTATAGATGTAGCTTTAATGCAGTTAAACTACTTTTGCCATGTAGCTTTCAATGTAGCTAGCTAGTTTTAATTACCTGGTCTTTAAAATAGCCTAATATTGCCAGTTAAGTATATATATTTTTACACATTTTAAATGTACTATTCCACAGAGTATACTGCAATACTGTCAACATTTTTAATATGAATTTATGCCTTTTGACAGCTTCAACAATTTCATTCCCATTTCTCAATCACATACAAATCAATAAAACTTAAATGCAACTTTTGTTTTCCTATTCTGTTCCTAAATTGGCAAAATTGTCTTCCTCTCTTGGCATCTCCCTCACAGAAAACCCAGGCTGCAAGGAACAACCTTCAGACAGCGAGAGTTTTTCCCCTCGCTACATTTAATATGGCTTTGCTTATTACGGCTCTTGGCTATGTAGTGTGGAAACAGTTTGAACAGACTGCACTGAACCAAGACCGTGTGTTTATATAGAGCCAAGACACTCACACATGTCTGTGCACATTTGAGCTGACTTTTTTTTTTTATTTACTCTTTTTTTCATTGATATGTAGGTCTTTTTCATTTAAGTTTATGGTCTTGTACATTCCCGACAATACCTGATGGTGCTAGTGGTATTTAGCCCTGGCTTCATCTCTACCTAAAGAGACAGCAGTGCTTTAGTCCTTTAGTCTGTCCATCTCTCTCACCACATCTGTACAAAAAGAGATAATTTCAAAGCTAACTCAATGCAATTGCATTGTACCATTGCATTGCATTCTGGAGTTTTAAATACAATGTTTGCAGTCTCCACTAATTGAATTTCTCATTGAACATCATTGGAAATGGTGAGTGACAAAAGAAGTTATTGCTCTTTAGTTTTTTTTTTTAATTGAACAGAAAAATCTGAGTGTTATCCCTCATGTTTGAAATTGCTGAAATTCTTTCTCCTGTTAAACATTATTGCAACTGCTTTAGTTTCCCTGTGACTTCAGTGTCTCATGGGAACAATGAGTAATAATAATAATAATAATAATAATAATAATGATAATAATAATAAAGTACAGTACCAACCAACGAATTAGCACCAGCGTCTCTAAGCACAGCACAAATATTTGAATATAAATACATTTAATATTTTTTCATATTTTCTACAAGATGAGAGCCACTCCAGACTGATGACGCTTCAGAGATTTTTGCTCATGAAAACACCAAAGTCATATCTGTATTATTGGAATGTCAGGAGAAAGGAGCTTGACAGGAATACGAATCTGGGAATGAGATTCTGGACAGCCAGAAGGAAAATGGAACTTCATTTCACTGGAACTGTACTGGTTTAAACTCAGCTCAGTGTAAATTACTGCAACTCTTATGGATGTCAAAGACCTTTTAGTGAACAGTGATGATTTGTGTCCTCAAAGTCCTATAAATCTTCATCTGCTTCAGTCCAGATGTGCATAACATTAACAAGTCCCACTGTCATGGCCTCAGTCCACCTCCAGACCCTGTCCAATAAGTGACTGTTCAGCAGTGATTCAGTCTCGCAGTTAACCAAACACAACTGCAAAGATGCATTCTAAAAAGTAATGTTTGCCCGAGCATGAAATCTGAATATATGCTAGAAGCTGTAACAATAAGAACACTGGAGGGGACTGTGTCTCCCACTGAAGAGAGAGTTTCTGAGAAACAACGAGCCAGTGATTTGTATTTTAACAGGGGAAAAGGAGATCCATGAATTGCTGTATGGGAAGACCCCCTCTCTGTTTGGAGGTAGAAATAAAAATCTAATGGCAAGTCACTAAACTCTTTAATTGTAGCTCTGCAAAAGAGGAAGGTGCTTTTATGACCATACACAGAGGTGGTTTGTTCCCTCTCAGGCTTCCTGTATGTTTCATTCATTTCTCTTCAATAGTGTAAGATGAAACAATCACATTCAGGATTAAAAAAAAAACTGGCTCCATAGTTGCAAAGGAACTAGAACACAGGGTTGAACTTACGGCAAAGAAAGGTGAGAAAGGAGAGCAGTGAATCCAGATGTTGGCTGGTGCTGACAGAACCAGTGTCTCCAAGCTGCTTGCTCTAGGCTCCTGGGTGTTCATGCGGCCTCCCTGTTTCTCCCTGCAGGAGTAATCAGCCATGCCATTCCTTATGGAGTTTAACTACAGCACCACAAGCAGAGCCTTGTAGCTGCTAATACACTCATCACCATGGCGCATTCACTCATTCGTATGCTTTCCAAACAAATTAGAATTCACCTACCATCAAATGTTGGTAAAAGCTTCCCACTGGTAGATAAATTTACAGTCTCAGAAAGGTGTTCGTCAAGGGTTCTCTGGATAGTTAATAGGGGCAGTAGTAGTTAATCTGGGCTGTGGCAGTGGTAGCTCAGTGGTTAAAACATTTGACTACCTAACAGAAGGTTGTGAGTTCAAATCTCAGTGTTGCCACTATTGGGCCTTGAGCAAGGCCCTCAACTGTGCGGTTATATAAAATGAGATAAGTGTAAGTTACTCTGGATAAGGGCCTCTACCATGTGTCATAAATGTTAATAATTTCTAGCTTAGTAAAGAAGTTCTCCTTGGAACCCTTTCTGATATACTCCATTTTTGGGTCCTACATAGAACCTTTAACAATTCCCCCAGAGGGACAAACCAAAGAAGCCTTAGGAATTCTAGATTTAATCATTTTTTTGACGAACCTGCTGATCATAATCATATTTTATAGTCTTTATATCTACCACATAGTGAATCTTATGGCACATGTGCATGTTCTTCAATTAGCTTGACCATATTTCTGCCAGTTTATCTCACAACACTCTACGAAAAAAGGCTTTTTCACTGGATCCTTGTACAGTTAAGCATCCTAAAGGTGTTGCAACTGGAATAATCTCTAATAGAAAAGCACTGGTTTTCCCTCTGCATAGAGGAACAAGCCAAAAAAAACCAAAAAAACCCAACCCATTAATGGTTCTAGATTTATCCTTCTTTAAGTGTATTCTCACATCATGGAAGCTCAGCAAGGACCAGTGAGGCAACATATAGTGGGTAAGCAAAGACTGGGCCAAATAGATTCAGGGCAAATAGCACACAATAATTTCCAGTGGTAGAACTGAGTACATTCTTGGACAAAAGGAGCCATCTACCCTTTAAAGGTTTTGTCCCTCAGGGGGAACTCTTTAAGGTTCTCTGTAGAACATTACAACAGGTGGTTTTCCTATCAGAGGGGGTCTGAACAGGAAGATAAGGATCCTTAACCATCCAAAAAACCCTTGAGCTGCCCTGTTTTTTAAGAGTGTATGATAACCCAGATCACACTCGTATTTTTGGCAAGATTGTCAGGCACATAAGGTAAAAATAGGGCTTAATTTGAAGAGGGATGTGAGTTGATGCCACACACCATTTGTGGTTGCAGCCTGTCATCTGTTTTATGAATTTAGCATCTCATATATCATCCAATGTAGCGGCATTTAAAACTGCACAAAATCATACAGTAATGAAACTAATGGAATGCATGTTTGTTCCAACAACTTAGTCTAAATTAATAAGTAGAAAAATAAATAAAATTATTTGGCTTTTTTTTTTAAAAAAGAAAAAAAATTCTGTTTTTAATTTTGAGGTTGCCATGTTAGTAAAAATGGTGAGTATTGTGAGCTAAATTTGGAAAAGATCTAGCCATATGGACTGGATTACTACAGCCACTGGTTTTGTCTCTGTCAGGTTACTTTCTCTTACAATCAGCAAAACTGTTTACTTCTTTACGCATTTGTCTGCTTCTGGTGAACAAACCTGCATAGACATCACACATATTTTCTCAAAAGCTGTTGAAAAAATAGAGTGGCTAAAAAGTGAAAGCTAAAATATGGCTGCTCAGTAGGATGAGCTCCGCTCAGTGTTATCTGGTCTAAACAGCCGTCTAGTATGACTCTAGCTTGTGGCTTAAGCAACAGGTGGATACCACAGTGCTGAGTGTTTATGAAGCTATAAAGCTGCAGAGCATTTGATAATGCCTTGAACTTTAATGGCTGTAATTAAAGAACCCCGGCGTCCGGCACAACCACAAACCATAGACAGAGCACAGCAGAGCGAGCTTGGTATGTAAGCATGGAAGAGGTAGTGTGTGTGTGTGTGTGTGTGTGTGAGATAGAGAGAGAGAGAGAGAGAGGTTGTGATTGAGTAATAAAAGCCCAGTGAGAGCTGGGAGTATTGGGTAGCTGTGTGTATTGATCTGGAGTGACCCTGAATGTGCCCTGCCTACAGAGGCCCCCCGCACACTCACTCAGCATGCTATCACCTAACCACTTAACTCACAGTCGTTCTTTACTTCCCCTCTCTTGCGCTCTCTGTCCAGTTGACTGGAACTGTGTATCCTCAGTAGTGCTGTACTGTGAGCCAGAAGCATCTCTCCATCAGTATACCATTCATGACCCACAGAGCGATATCATCTATTTCAGTCAGTCCACAAAACCTACCCATCATGCCTTTCACATCATGCTAAGGGCCTCCATTCCTCAGAGCTGCAGACACAGGCGCAGAGGCTAAATGCCTGGGAGGGAAATCATTGCTGACCTTGTCAGCCCTGGATGGAGTTTAGGGCTTACACAGACCACAAAAGACATGCTGCAGCCTCCAGAAGAGTTTCACAGATGCTCCAACATTGTGTGTGTGTGTGTGTGTGTGTGTGTGTGTGTGTGTGTGTGTGTGTGTGCTCGCATGCCCTTGTATCAACAGACGTTTTTCAAAGTGCAAAACATACAAAATATATAATAATCCTTGATGCACACACTTTGTAATGTATAACTTCCAACTGAAAGATTAAACCGTTATTGGAGCTCTACCAGCTAAACCACGGAACTGATGGAGAAGAACCAGACCGGTCTCACAAAAATTAGAGCACATACAACTGAAACACCAGGCAGCATAACACTTGTACAGAGTTGACTTGTAATTCGGAGAACAGGGCTGGATGCAAGTTTGCTACTTTAAACATAACTGTAGTCTAGTTTAGTTAGATATTTTGTAGAAATTGCATTTGGAAACAATTTTATAATTGTGTTGTTTGTTCTGTAGTTATGCACTCTTATACACTAAGGTTATACACACTATCTCTAAACTGTTAAAACATCACACAATGCCCCACGAAAAATACTTCTTTTGGTAATGAAAATTAGCTTCTTTTATTTAAACTGATTTAAAGATGACCACATTCCCCCTATCAATTTTTCCCCCCAATATATCTGTTATTACAAACTAAAATTGCACATTTCTTGGAGATCTTCCTGGATATGAGGAAGCTGCCAGAACCAAATTACTATCATTATGGTAAAGAGTACAATGTCTCTTTGTTGGCCAAGCACTTCGCAAAACTCTTTTCCTTTCCAGAGTTCTTTTACAGCGGTCCACCTGGTGAACTGTCTGCAACATGGCCAGGATCTCACTGTCTTCCAAATGTGGAAACTATTTGTTAAATTGCGCCAATGAACTGTAGTTTAAATAGACAGCGATAGCCGCAACAAGAAATTTTGTTATTCCATTAGGGAGGATTAGGTGTAAACACTTCCTTCTGCATTATGTAGATAATAAATCATTACCTGCTGTTGAAGGGCTTCAGTCTCTGCTGGCGTTTGTTTTGAGAACGTTAATATGATAGTAACAACAGATGTCCTGAAGAATTTCAGACAGATAGCTATATAGAAATAGATCATGATAACATGTTGTACATTGTATTACATTACCTTTTTTTCATGGTCAGTAGTATTTCTAGTATATACTTACATGTTCATGTGGTTTGTGGAGTCGCTGTGAGAGTATTTGCTTAATGAGTCATCAGTGGTAAGAGAACAAACCTCTTAACAGTGCAAACAAGTGATGTTTTTTTTTTTAAGAGACTCCTTGAATCCAAATATTCAGTGTAAACGCCCTCAGCATATCAGTGTGTATCTCCACTTCAGTATGGAAACAGCAACATTCTTGTAATATGATAGAAGAATGTAGTCTACTTCGTGGGGAAAAACTTGCATTCCAAGACGCTATCAGCAGTAATGAGTGTTTTTCTCTAGTTTTGCCAATAGACATAATTGTCCATCATGTTTCGCACTCCAGGGATGCTACACTATGCTACCAGACTCACTTATTGCTGAAAGGTATGCAATGCACATATATAGGCTAACATAGCTATGAGGTAAATGTGTGAGTTTATGCAAGAACCTATTACATACATGTAAGTGTTTGAGGGTAATTGGTGGTTCATATATAATTGATGGTTTATATATATATATATATATATATATATATATATACACGTGTATATATGTATATATGAATTTGGACTGCTCGTAACATTTTTAGTCACATGAGTTTGCTAACTGCAGTAATGTTAGCTGATCATGTTAGGTTACCTCCTTATCTGGCAATAAATAAACACTTAATGTTAGCTCAATTTTAAGATGTTGTATTGTGTAACGTTACTCATTAATAACAAACTACGAGCATAATAAAGGTACTTATTAACTATTGTATTGATGTCATAGTATTCTAACATAATTCACAAATTACAGGTAACTAGTTTTCTTGGAAACTAAAATATTTAACTCAATAAAATTAAATGGTCTAACAGGAGTCAGAGAAGTTTGTTGACGAATGAAAGGATCAATACAGAGGTATAAAAAAAAATAGTATTTTATGTAGTAGACAAACTGCATTGTGATATATGAACTATAACGCATTTCTGAAGTGTGGACCTCACTATAATCCTGTCCTGGATATAAAACAGTTGTCTGTAATTCAAAACTCTTCTAGATCCTGAACACAGTTATATCAGATCCCTAGATATAGCAATTATAGGTACATGTACTGAATGGCTAAAAGATCTTGCTGCAAAAAGAGGGCTTCGGCAAGTAAATGAAAACCAATCCCAATTCCTTTTCTTTTTCAACTTAAAGACAGCCACTATAAATAACAGGAACAGGGCCTATACCCAGTGTGGCATTTGTAGCCCTGGCTTTTTTGTTTGGATTCTGGACAGAGCAGACCCTCAGCAGTTAAGGTGAGGTCGTGACAGTGACCTAAGGTCAAGAGATCAGAGGTTGTGAGACCTAGTGCCGGAAAGGAGACTCCAGTGTTTATTCAAACGTGGCACTGCCATGGCAACAGGATTGCACTTTGATCCCACTGAATGCTGGAATGATATTAACCAACATGTGTGATTGTATTATGTGTGCATATGTGTAAGAGAATTAGATAGAAATAGAGACAGGGAAAAAAAGAGAAGAGAAGAGAGAGAGAGAGAGAGAGAGAGAGAGAGAGCATGTGAGTAGTGAGGCTTGGTGAAATTAGAAGCAGAGACAGACACTGGGGCAAGTGACACATTTCCAGCACATTATTTCACAGCAAAAGAAAACATCTCTTTGTTTCCATGGGCAGTAACAGGGCTGAATGTCATAAGGCACTTT